TTATTTATTTTTATTTTATAAAGGATTTACAAACATATTTTGACAATTTGGTGTTAAGGCAAGTTTGTTTTGAATTTACAAAAAATATTTCGATGAATTAATGAATTAATAGGATTAGTAAATGTGATTAATTAGCATTTTGGAATAAGCATGTATACCTTCATATAATATAATACTATTCTAACAGGGTGGATGGATTGAAATCTGTAACAATGACTGACAAAGATGGTGTTGCAATAATAAAATGTAAGAATCAATGTAAATCGATTAAAATTTCCAAGAATTGAAATTAATTTTTAATATTTGCAACTTTTCATTTTAATAATAATAAGCTGTAACAAATAATGCATCCATTAAAACATTTGAGCATATATTATCAGCGACTTTTGGAGTTATCAGTGACCAGGTAATTTAATTATGTAAATAGAATCCATGAGTGAGAAATAATCCATTCATCTATAAAAGAAAAATTATAATAAATTTGTAAAATTATTTAAATAACTTAGGCATCGAAATTAGGATTAAAAGAAAATAAATCTATAATTAGCCTTTATGGAATTTATCAAGTCATACAATTTAATCACGCACCATTAATTACTATTTTAATTGCTGATTCTGAAGCAAACACTGGTGAATATTATTATATTATATAATATACAATATTATTATATATATAAATACTAATATTATATATGTATATACACCATCTTATGGTGAAGGCGTATTATTAGATCTTGGAAATGAATTAAAAGAAATAGCAGATTTAATATCTGCAACATTAATTGAAAGACAAACATCAGCAACATAGTATATACTTTGTTATTATTTGTTATTTTTTAATTTTAAGAAAAAATATTTATATAATATTAAATAATAGTACAAAGAAATAAAATATATCAATAATAAGTTTACATGTGTTTGCAAACTAGAGAAAAACAACAGTAATAATAACAATAATAATGAATACCGATTCTTTTTCTTTGGTTTTCATAGACAAAAAAGAATAAATGAAATTTTGAAAAGGTGAGTGAGTTGACAATTAAAGGTGGGTTTTAAATTATTTTTTATTGAGAACAATTGGTACTACAAAAAAATTTTGATTAATTAATTGGTATGCTTCTTATTATAATATATATTTCCAATATTATATAAAAATTGATATTACTTACAAATAATAATCAATAATAAAATGATTATGGTAACAGCGATAATAATTCTCATTTTCATATCTTTCCACCACATTTGTTTTCGTACTTTATTTGCCCCACGACGAAATCCTTGTGCTGATACTGACAAATTTTCTATTTAAAAAAGATAGTGAGGAGATATTACTAATTATTTAAATTATTTAAAGTTTTTCTTTATTCTCCAACATAATTTCTTTACCGGTTTTATCTTGTAAAGTGTCTAATCTCTCTCCTCTTACGGCAACGGATTTAAGGTTATCACGCATAACTTCTACTGTCTCGTCGATTTTTTTTTGAATTTCTGCAGTTTTTGAAGGTGGTCCACCAGCAGCGCCCTCCTTAGGTACATATGGATCATATGAAGACCTGTTGAAAAAAAAAAAGATTATTAATGTCATTGGACAGTGACGATTTTAAGTAACATTCGTTCATTCAGTCAGTTAAACAAAAAATAATTATTTTCCATTGCAAACTAACTAATTAATCTAACTGATTTATTGATTCAATCTGCCCAAATAAAAATTTCAATATGCTTGGTTTCTTTTATTTCAATATAATAAAAATAATACATACATTATAAAGTATTTTTATTATTTCAATGATTTCTTGAAGAATGCTAGGTGCAAGTATTTTATTATTAATGGCAAAGAACCTTTTTGAAATTATTTTTTGAATAAAGTTTACGTGCACAAACTATTTATTATTATCAATCCAAGTACAAAATAACATCTTTTTATAAATAAAATTTCTGCTTATAGTTATGTTGTCGCACATCTTAAAATTTCTAGGGGGTAGCAGGACCCCGGAAACTATAGATAGGTTACTGGGGTGTATAGTGCAGGACACCTAGTCCCTACAACTTTTATTAGTCTTGCAAATCCTTTAACTCCTCCGAAAATGGAAATGTGTGACCTAAAAAACAAGATGTCATTTTGAAGCTAAGACCTTTTTCTACAAAATGACATTTTCATTTTGTTGAGATGCCATGTTGTTGTGGAGGAATTAAGCCTTAAAGTTGCACAAGTTTAACAAATTTACTATGTTAATCCCACAAAGTGACGTGTTACACGCAAATTTTTTATATTAAAAATGAACGAATTGGAAGAATTGAAAATTTTGAAATCTATATTGCAGATCATTTATCACGTGATACCAATAAAGAGAATGCAACGTGACAAATCTATTTTTAAAACACGTGACTGTAAAAATTTTATTGCATTTTTTGATTGTGAATTTTTTCACAAATCTGTCGCTGTGGCGCAGAAAGTTGTAGGGACTAGGTGTCATGCATCATAATTGCATTGAGAAAATTTTCCAGCAAATCATTTTTTTTACTATTTCGAACGAAGTTTTTTATTCGTTCTTGTGCTATGAGCATCGGTTTTGTGTTTTCTTTCATCACATATTAAAATCATTGAATTATTATTATTGTTGTTGTTGTTATTATTATTAGTAGTAGTAGAATTTACATCATTCTAAGAAAAAAAGGCATAATATGAATCAAATGAATAAATCAAGTATTTAAATTGCAATCATAGTCTTACATATTTTGTATATTGAACTAAACCATTCATTAAGGATCACAGAATCCACATGAGGTGGTGGATTGGCTTTTGCATTTACTTTTAATTTTGAAATTTCTTCATTGCTTGTCAATGTTTTGTCATCACTTGTATTAGCCTCTGAAAGATTGTTTCAAGAAAAATAATTTTTAGATGAAAGAATAATAATTAATGATGAATTTATCTGTATTTGCCACCACCATTTAGTTCGTAGGCTTTAGACAACAATGTAATTTAAATTCCAGAGTCATACTACCCCCCTGAAATTCAATGCATTGTTGTATTATCGGGGGATGAGGTCAGTTTAGCCTTGTGTACACTAGGAAGATGGAATATTTTAAATATTTGTTTAATATTCAAACATCTGTAACTTTCCAATAATCAAATATATCATTTTTTGGTGTTCCCCAGATTGAGATCTTTAATAGTTATGTTGCTTTGACACTCCTTACAATTAATTAATGTTAATGAGATTATGCAAAATGGATATACTAACCATTTGTTTATTATGGTAGGGAAACTTATAATTACCCATTACTATATAATGTAGAAGACAGGATAAATTTCACTTCACATTCCAATCTCTCATTTCACTATAATGTTGCTATTTTATGTAGAAAAAAAAATTAGCACATTTAATACAAAAAAAATATTTCTGACTACTAACAAATAGCATATCTTCTTTCGGAACCATACCAAATAATACTTCTTTGTTCATTAATGAGTGTAGAGTGCCTTCCAAAAAAAAAAAATAAGTACTCCCTTAAAATTTTTGTGTTCCATATTATTTTTTTTTAAAAAAATGTCAAGAACTAATAGAAATGAGTAAGTATTATCATTTAGTTAGACTCTAATCATGGATGAAAAATAACTGATAATAAAATGATCCTTTCTTCAAAAAAATAAAAAATTTTAAGCAATGAAATCGTAATTAAGAATGAACTTTACAGGATGTTATTAATGGATTAAATAATTTAATGTCAAATAGGCTCACAAATATAATTTATGTAATAACAAAAGTAATTTAATACAATATTTTCAATGATTGCATAAACGCCTTTCTTTGGTTTGATTATTGGCAATCAACTTAAAGGTCACGTGCCTTGAAGTTGAATTCAACATTTATGTTTTTATTATCTATCTATTTATTCTAGTTGTTATATTGTTGATAAAAGTCAACATGGGCAAAACCTAGAGGTTTAGTAACCATCAGAATCGAAACTAATTTAAATGTTTCAACGTTGCTATTACTAATCAAGGTTTTGCCAAAATGGGTCATTTTATAATTATAATTAAATTAAAAATGTATGAAAAACGTATTTTCAAAATAACCTTTTCTAAGCCAATTAACAAAAACGATTAACTGCAAACAAGTACTGACCTGACATAAAATATTATTGAACATTTTGCAAATGATTAATTCTACTATTTCATAATATTTTATTTTGAAAATTCAATTTGAGCCGGCGTAAGTTTTAATTTCCTGATAAAATCACATGACTTTTATATTAACTCCCGTTATAATGACAATCTCGTTATACTGACATTTTCTGCTTGCACGGAGAGTGTCGTTATAACGGGAGTGACTTGTGATATTTCCAATAATTAACTCGTTGTTTTACGTAATTAGTTTCGTCACCCGTAATTAATTTCATAATTACGTTTTTAAAGAAAGTGGTAATTAATTACTATAATACGTATTCACGGTAATTGGCAATTACCATCCCATGTATAGATACAATCAATGATAAAAAACATTAAATGATACAATCCAATCGATGATTCAATTGCAGAGATGATAAAATCATCAAATGATGGAAATAATAAAATATAAATGTAGTTCACAAGTGAGAATGCTCTCTTCCTTCTAAACTACCAAATGAGATGGTAAATAATACATAAAAATGAACAATAAAAATAGTTTTTTCTAATCATTTTGCTAATGACGAAATATAAAAAATATTAAATCTACTAAAACAGTAATGATGACCCCTCACACATAATGAGATATCACGTGATACCGACATATCGTGATTCACATATATATAACTTGGGCTAACTGATTGACCGACTTGTTATTTTTAAATAGTAAAAAAAAAGGGGTGAAATTTTGGCCGAGTTAGGCCAAAACCGACTCCGACTTATCAAGTTCGATATTATAAGATTGTCTGGGTCTTTGTCCTAATTGTGATTATAAAGTAACACAACCTAATAGTATTATTATGAAGAAGTTCGCAATGATCTTGATCGTCTTGTGAATTCAGCTGAAATTTCATTGCGGTTATGTTTACTGCCCCTCCCTATATTGCATACACTCTCATATATATACACATTATATATAAAATAAAACTTAAATAAATCAGGAAAATGTCAGCTTTAACTATACAAATCAAAATATTACAATATACAATAGCCTTATTACTATGTCTTTCACATTTAATTGGCTCAGTCTTTCTAACGCTAATGTTTATTCCACCTTTCGCATTATTTGGTTGGATGTTCTTGCCAATAGTAGTGGCTAGCATTGTTGGTAATGATTATTATTATTATTATTTGTTATCACTATTATTTGTTGTTGTTATTATTATTATTATTATTATTATTATTATTATTATTGAGAAATATTGATAAATAAAATTTCTAATTTTTTTCTCTTCATTTAATGAAAAAATAATTAAATAAAAATCAGTGAGTGCATACAGCACAGCATGGTTATTATATTTATATTTTGGTAAGATAGATGATAATTATTGTAATCAAATGGGAAAAACCTGGATTCATTTAATTAATATCTTTGGGAAAAATTTTTTTTTAAAAATCAGCACAAACAGATCGACAATTCAATCTACCATATAATCCAAAACGTATTATTAAAATCAACTATGCATTATTACAATTTTTATGGGGTTTTGTGAAATACATACCATTATTTGCAGAATATGCTTACTTGAAATTTTTTGTTTTGGGTAAAAAGATGCGAAGGATTGTAAAGTATTTATCATTTATTTATTATCTGTTTGAAGACAAAAAAATAAATATATTAACTGATTATTTAATAAATCAATCAATTTAAAGGGAAGATATATTTTATGGAAGTCGTTCAAATTCCAATCGTCTTGATGTTTATATTCCAGATACTGCCAAATTTCCTCATGTAATTGAGGCAGCTTATCATCCTGTCATAGTATTTATTCATGGAAGTGCTTGGTCATCTGGTATATTAATAGTTGATTGATTAATTTATTTCTTTCTTGATTTGAAATAAAGTTTTAAATTTTATTTTTTCATTTTTGAAAAAAAATACATATAGGATCAAGCAAATCCTTGTATATTCTATTAGCTCTTCGATTAAGACAAATGGGTTATATTGTTGTCGTACCAGATTATTCTGCATATCCTGAAGTATGATTTGATTATATTTTCTTACGAGGGAAAAAAAAAGATTATTTTTTATGAATTATTATAATTAATTAATATTTTTTAGGTAAAGGTTGAATTAATGATTTCTGATATTAAAAGGGCAATGGTGTGGACAAAAAGATACATAAAGTATGAATATAAATGATTATTTTATTTTATCTATTATTTATTTTATCATTAAGTTATTTTTCTAATTAATAATAATAGTAAATTTGGAGGTGACCCAAGTAAAATTCATATAATGGTGAATATATATGTTAATAATATTAATAATTATCTATAAATAATATTAATAATTATTGTTATTGTCATCAAAAACTACAATATAAATTTAGGGCCATTCTTCAGGTGCGCATTTAGGAGCTTTGGTTACAGTACGAGATGCTATAATTAAATCACGAACATCATCCACATATTTTGAAGACATTGATCCTGAATTGGAATTACCAAAAATTGCTGGTCTTATTTTGTAAATAAACTATATATATAATTTCGAATTTTTTCAAAATCACTACTACTACTACTACTACTACTACTACTATTATTATTATTATTATTATTATTATTATTATTATTATTATTAAATTTAATATTTCTATTTTGTGTAAATTAATTTAAGAGTTTCCGGTAAGTTATTTTAATATAATTTCTATGTAATTAAAAATACGAAAATTCTAATTCTATAATAATATAACTGGCTGTAGGAGTGTATGATATTGCAAGACATTTTCATTGTGAGGCTAAACGTGGTGTTGAAGAAATATCAGCGATGACACGTGTAATGGGAGATACATTAGAAAATCTTGCATTGAACTCTCCCACACTCTTACTAGATAATGCTATCAGAGATGCTCAAATTAATCCAGAGACTTTGAATAATTTATTACCGCCTAAAATATTATTAATTCATGGTGACAAGGTATTATTTTTAAAAAGGATTTAAGAATTTTTTGTAGAAATAATAATATTTATAAATATTTCATATCTAGGATAATTGTGTACCAACGGAATCATCAATAAGATTTAATCATGTACTAAATGAATTATATATCAAAGATTTAAAATTGAGAATATTTCCAGGAATGGGTCACGATGAACCTATTACAAGTTTAATGTTTAGTCCTTTTACTAGTAAATACACTTTACAATTATTAAGTGAAATGGCTGATTTCATGTTATATTAATAGATTTGTTATTATTGTTACTATTTTAGAAAAATTTTTTTTGTGAACTTTTGTTTTTATTTATATATATAAAATAAAAATTTTAATTATTTATGATTGGTTTAATTGGTCGAGTTCTTCTCTCACAATTATTCTCTTCACTTCTTAAATGTTAAACCCATAAATTTTCTTTTTGCAAAACTCATCCACCATTTAGACAATTTTCCATCAACATATACTCTATCAATTAATCTATTAGCTATTTCCTGTCGACAATTTTTTAAATATGATCGAATATTTTCTATCATCATCAGAATAATACATGTAAAAATATAGATTTAAAGATTTTAGAATATCGTTTTTTTCTTTCAATTAAAAAAAAAAAAATAAATAAACTTATTAATAACAAAAAATTACCCATTTCATTTCTGTTAGCTGGTGAAGAACAATAAACTCTTAATGGAAATGTTACTTCGCCAGGAATAGTTTCCAATTCATTATCTACTGCTCGATTATTTAAAAATTTTACTGCCTCTTTTTGTGTTGGATTTTTTATTAGTAGCTGACTTAAGTAATCAGAAATCACTAATATTAAATAGATTAATACTCGATCCGCATTTCCTTTAACCTCAAAATTACGAAAAAAACAATTGGCTCTGAAAAGATCTAACGCTTCATCAACTATATCATACTCGATAGCTATGTATATGTGTGTGTGCATGAATAAATGAATTTAATGAGGAGAAAATAATATAGCTATAATTTTCCATCATAAAAATTACTTACATGGTGCTCTAATATATCTTTTATCCGATTTAATCGGCAATAATGCCATTCCACCAATTGTTTCTACTTCTGTTACATCGTTGAATTGGGAGTGATAGGCCTTAAAAAATTTAATTAGGTTTATTTATTGATCCAAACATTAGTTAAAAATTTTTATTTAAAAACTTACAGGCATTTTTGCTATATAAAATTGCTACTTTTTATACAGGAAAATCATTTTTATTACAGTATATATTAATATAATCGTACCTCTTTCCATATTAAGTGTAGAGTTCTGTTACACAGTATATCACAGTCTGGATTTTATCCAAATTTGGAGATCGATTCTGGAAAAATTAGATCAATTCATATACATTACAAATGAGTTAACGTGATACTTTTCTTCCTTATAAAAATTTTTAAAAAATTCTAATTATAATAATTGAAATAAATACTACCAGCTTGTTTTCTCATAATCCATTCAAAATCCACAACAATCTGTTAATTTGTAGAAAGTATGCTATTGCCTAAATTTATGTAATAGGAGTTCATTTATTGGTTTTTTAAAATAATTTTTTCGTTTTTTCTTTTGAACTTCAGTGAATAGAACATCAATACCATCTGCTAGCACCTTTTAAATGTTCAGTTATTAGTTGAAAGATGAGAAAAGCATATAGATCAAACATATTAGATGACAGTACAACAAATTGTCAGTCAATAATGGTTTAATTTCAAGATGTAAGAAAATTCAAATTTATTTTCTTATATACAGTGTGTTAAGAAAAAAAACAGCAGTGACAAAAAATTGCATACTTCAACAATTACATAACATGATTAAATAAATTTAGATTCGTTTGAAAGTTTATCAAATGGGGCATGCTGTAACAAAACCAGACAAAGTGAATATTTGTATTACCAAGAAATTTCAGGGTTCAAAATTTTTTAACATTCATGATATTGATATTTTATATCGGATATACTATTGATTAATATTAAAAACATTAAGTAGTCAGCATAATTAACACATTCAAAGTTTAAGCTTTAATTATAATTAATTCTTTAATCAGCATTAATGTTCTTATGCTTTTACCAAACATTTTAACACTTTTTCTGTGAGTGTCAATAATTTTTACATAAATACAATTCTCATGACAATGTTACAATAAATTCAAGCAAAGATTAAATAGTGAAATTTTGTTTTTCCAAAGAATAAAAAGCTGAAATTTTTACAATTATTAGTCTCCAAGGATTATTTAAAATTAATATTAAAATTTATGTACTCATACAAGATAACCAATCCTGAATCTTAGTATGTTCATTGTTATCAATACAAGACTTGTTGTATTTATGTAGTATGTCATTGTTTGATTCAATTAATTTCTGGAAAATAAAAAAAAGATGAGTATTGTATAAAAACAAAAACTGCATGAATTAAAAAATTTATTTACCTTGACTATTAAAATTAGTTTTATAATTTTTATAATCCACATCTAATATTTTCTCTGCTACAAATGCTTTTGGGGCTGCCAAATTTATTTGGAACCAGGGTTGGCAAATGTATGGTCCATTGGTGGTCTATTGGTGATCCATTGGTTCCATTATAGCCATATTTAGTAATTTATTAATGCAATGGACCAGTCCAAAGACCATAAGCTCTCAATGGACCAGTTATTCTGCCAGCCCTGTTTGGAACAGCTCTCCCTTTGTTTCTAAATAGAGACCCTAGATTATTAACTAAACATTTTGCCATATTATAACAAATGAGAAAACATAATTAAAACTTACTATATACAGTACTATATAAGCCATCACATAATATTTTGATGCATATTCAACACTCCCATTCCCTTTGAGAAACATTTTATTTTGTCACTAAGATATTTTGTGTTTTTAATTTGATTTGGAGGACCAAGATTTTCAAAAATGAGCAATTCTTGATGCATTTGGAAAATATAAAAAAAATTTGCATGTGTCAATCATAAGTTTAATAATAAATAAGTGTAAAACTTATGTTGGCACTGTAAGATTTACATGATATTATGTCAGTGTTGTAAGATTTATGCAAGTTTTCACTAAATTAATTTCCTGATGTGTCTACAATTATAGTTAAATAATATTCCATCTGCTTTTCGGGCCATGGCTTGAACATTGTTATAAATTTTTTCTTGGCACCACTTTGATGAAGGAACATCATTTTCATTCCTGTTCAAATAAAACCAGTAAGATTTTAATAGCAATCATAATAAATTTTATTATGTTTCTTACCAACTAGATGAGGAAAATGTAATCTAAGAAACTCAAAATCAACTGATGTTAATGTAAAAGTATAAGTGTTCTCATCAATTTTCTTGCTTATTTGACCAAATTCTGCTCTTAGTTGTAAGAGCTTGATTCTAACCATGTCTTTGATAACTAGGTTTTGTATTCACGGATACCATGAATACCATTAAGGGGGTTACACACTAATAAATCAGCAAAAAATCCCTTAAAAACACTTGATTTTAATGGTGTGTAACCCTGTGTGACCTCCTTAATAATAAACCAAATAATAGTGATGATGATGATGATAATAACAATAATAATAATATTAATAATAATAATAACAGTAATAATATACCAATAAACCATGTCAACAGCCTCAGCTTCTACATCTACTGCAGACACCACGCTGGCCGAAACATTGGAAGGTAAGTTTGTACTCTCTCCGCACGTTTTGTTTTGGGATTTCGGCCTTTCTTGGTGATTAAAGTTTCTTCTCGTTAGGAATCTCAGTAAAAGATCCAGACTATTTCACAACTAATCACGACTGGTCTTTGTTGGGTTTTTTACTCTATCGCCAACAATGCAGTGATTTTCTGCCCAATAAAGGCGAAGAGCATCATCGATATTCCCTGAGCCTTACAAATATAATGAGTTGTGAAGAAATACCAGTACATTTATTGAGACGGGCTGGCAGAGCAATTGGCTCAATGCAAGTTAAGTATTTTTTCATGCCCCATTGCAATTGAAAATACATTCTGATTTAGCAGTGGACGGGTCTGAAGGGTGTATAACCTTTTGGATGGGGTTGAGGCCTGCGTTCAATCACCCAACACTCTTGGTTGAGGCCGGGAAGTGCATGAGTTGAGGCTCGTGGTGGTTCCGTCCTGTGTGAATGGCTTTTCCTATCTGGTTGTAAGTGGACGGGTCTAAAGGATGATTGCCTTTGGATGGGGTTGAGGCCTGCGTTCAATCGCCCAACACTCTTGGTTGAGGCCGGGAAGTGCATGAGTTGAGGCTCGGGTGGTTCCGTCCTTGCAACTGGAGTTGCATTAGTTGTGGCTTGTAGTATAGTATTTGGTGAACTTGTCTTTCACAAACTAAAAAATATTATATCGTTAATAGAAGGAAAAGAAAACACAGCTAGTAAAAGAATTCTGGGAGAGTGCTACATCGGTGCAAAGGAGGAAGTTGGGAGCTATAGCTGAACGCGAAGCTTTGTTGGTATGGAGCATTTGATCTGTAATATACCAAGATGTATGATATGGAAACATTAACCCTGTTCATTTCATAGGAGGAACATACTACAAACGCTGTGTACTCTACATATAGACAAGGACGGATTGTACAGGAGAAGCTTGCGAAACGTTTAGAGGATACTGACCTGGGCCTTCAAAAAAAGGTATATAATAAATCAATAAACAGCGTGATAATTCATTATGTTTTGTAATAAGAACTATAATTTAATACTTTAGGACGACCAGACTAATCATCCTCCTACAAAACGAACAAGAATAGAAGATTTTTCCCCCGTGCGTGACGTTCCTCATCTTCAACAGGCACATACTCCTGATGAAGAAGAAGAGATTTCTCTTTATGATACTTTTCCGGTTCACATTTATAAACAACCTGTACCAAATCCTTTTCTAGTTGGAAATAAGCATGATCATGATATAGACGAAGAGGATGATGAATTCAATGCAGATTTAACTATTGTCGGTGGAAAAAGTATTGATTGGATTATTAGTGGAATTAATATCAGAGAAAAGTTGGCAAAATATCAGCTTGATGTAAATCCACCTAAAACCAATCCAGAATATTACGACATTATTTTTTTCAATTTAAATGATGAAGACGGTTTCCTAGGAACGTTGGATAAAGGTATTGTTGCGCAGATGCGTAAGGAAATAAGGAGGCCAGAAGTAGACACAAATGATAATATGAACCAAGAGATTAAGTCATTTCTGAAAAGTATTATTGATCGCGATATTAAGAAGACTAAAGAAAATCTTAATCATCGAAATGCTAAAAAAATTGATTCATTTGAAAAGAGGTTCGCGTTACATTTTGTAAGCCATATGTAAGTATATTTATTTGATTATTTGATTCATCGAGAAGTGTGATAAGGCTAATGAAACTAACCTTATATAGGGTAAAAGTGATGGAAGATGTGAATTTGTTTTATGATCCTATGTCCGAGGGAACCTATATCATAAACGTTCTAGCACCCATTCTTGATTACTTCTTTAACAAAAATAAAAAAGATTGGCTTGTTTCATATGGAGAAACATGCCTCAAGGCATGTGCACAAGATGTTAATTCCAATAAAAAAGATGTCGAACGCCGATCTTCAGGAAAAAAGATTGATACAATTATTTGTATGAGAGAAGAAGACAAAGAGTTCTCAGTAACTGAAGTCAGTGGACCCCCACTGAAAAATGATTGGGCACATTTTCGGGGTGATCGTATGAAGATCATGAAAATGTTAAAAACTTTAATGAATAAATTTGCCAAACTCAATCCAAGCTCAGATATCACGTTAATCAAATTATATGGGTTACAAGCTTATTGTAAGTTTTTAATTTTTTTTTGTGTATTATTGTTATTATGCACTACTAACTCTGTGTTTTATAGTAAATGAGTTGACTATATATGAATTCCAGCTAAAATATACCGAGATTTACACTACAGAAGCGATCTTGACATTTCCCCTACCTAAAACGTGGGCAGATATGGCAAAAGCTGATGAAGCTATAATTGGCTTGTTGAAGTATGAGGTTCGTATAAATGGATTCAGAAAAAACTGGATACAGAGAACACAAAATTAACATTTTTAAATTCTTTTAAATTAGCGCCTATTATCTGAAGGTTTAAGAACTATACGAGATTTTTTGTGGGCCAGTGGTGGTGGAGTTGAAGCTATTAAGATGACGACACGAATGATTCACACTCCTACCAAGAAAACGAAGAAAACGAAAACAGCACGAATCAATTGAGATCTTATTTATATTGTGATACTAAATAGTTAATTTGTATATCTTATTTTGTATCTATATTGCATAATCGCCTGATTAGGCATTGATTATGATGTGATGCGTATATGCATCGGAAAAATAAAAAATAAGTGCATGATCGAGAATTTTTTCTTGGTGCGTTACGAAAGTAGTATATATATCATAGACGATAAAAGTGATCGGCGTTACAAATTGTAACGCGCACATAATTTTTTATTAATTCGAAATTTTGAATAAATCTATCTACAGTCAAATCTCGATAAACCGAACTACCATAAACCGATTTTCGCTTTATAACGATGCAAAATTGGCTAACTAAAT